TATATATATATATTTGTACTTATGTTCAATTGCATACATACAACTCTTTAAATTAGAAATTATTTGTACATTTTTAAAAATTGCAAATATTATTATCTATAAATTCAATCAAAAACATTATTATTTCAGACCATCGAAGCTGCTAAGGAAGATGTGAAGCGAGCTTTAACAACTTTAAATTCTCATTTACTTACAAGAACTTATGTTGTTGGAGAACGAATAACATTAGCTGATATTTGTTTAGCTATGACTTTACTCCATTTATATCAATACGTTCTTGAACCAAATCTACGTAAACCATACCAAAATGTTAACCGATGGTTCCAAACAGTAATTAATCAACCTGAATCTGTTGCTGTAATTGGTGCCTTTAAATTGGCTGAAAAAGCTATAGAATTTAATCCTAAAAAGTATGCTGAGATGCAAGGAAAGGTATATATAATAATCTGTCTTTGAAATATTTTATTATATGATTTTTTAAATTATGAATGTATATATATATATATATATATATATATTTTATTTTAAAGACTTCCAAAAAAGAGAAGAAAGAAAAAGAATCAAAGAAAGAACCGAAGGAGCCAAAAGAGTCAAAAGAGGCAAAAGAGAATGAAGATCTTGATCCAGTAGAAGCAGCTTTAGCTGCAGAGCCTAAAACAACAAATCCTTTTGATACTCTACCTAAAGGTTCATTTGATCTTGATGATTTCAAACGATTTTATTCCAATGAAGATGAATCAAAGTCAATACCATATTTCTGGCAGAAGTTTGATCCAGAACATTATAGCATCTGGTTGAGTGAATATAAATACAACAATGAATTAACTAAAGTAAGTATTTATATAAAATTATAATGCAATAAAAGTATTTCATTGAAATTAATATATATAATTGTTTCTGTTTAGGTTTTTATGTCGTGCAATCTGATTACTGGAATGTATCAAAGATTAGATAAAATGCGTAAAGCTTCTTTTGCCAGTACCTGCTTATTTGGTACAGACAATGATAGTACTATTAGTGGTATATGGGTTTGGCGTGGACAAGAACTTGCTTTTACAGTATGTTTACACATTATTTACTAAATCAACTGTTTAAACAACATTAATGAATATATTTTTGATAATAAATATATGAATTTGTTTTACAGTTATGTCCAGATTGGCAAGTGGATTATGAGTCATACAGTTGGACAAAATTAGATCCAACTGATGAAAAGACAAAGGAATTGGTACATCAGTACTTCAGTTGGATTGGTACTGATAAAGAAGGACGTGAATTTAATCAAGGAAAAATCTTTAAGTAAAATTTCAAATTTGCTTACAGATACATAACGCGCTCCATTCAGAGGCAATAAATGTAAAAACTGACAGAATTTATTAAACTTTGTCCTTGTAAAGCCTTTTAGTCTTATTATATGTCCAGTATATATTTTTTAGCATATGTACTGACTAAATAATCTTCTTTGTCTGAGATATCTATAATGTTATTTCAAAAACATATATTTATATGTTATTTCTCATGTGTATCGTGATCAGATTTTTAACAAAAGCTTAACTGAACTATAACTTTGATGATTTTTTAAGTTATAATATAAAAGTATGCCTGGATATACTGATTTTATTATAATTGCTTTATGAAAATAAATTCTCCTGTGAATGGAACATAACAGAAGCGTTTTTACCTATTATTTTTATATATTTTCATATTAATACACAAGTATAAAAATGACTTCAAACAAATAATCATATTATTTTGTTAATCATAAGTTTACATATTTTTATCTCACAATCTATTATTATTATTATTATTATTATTATTAAATTTAATATTAATAAGCTTGATAATTCATTTGATTTTAATAATGTTTGATAAAATGTTTACTTCGAATTATTTAGTTGTTTCATTTGAATATTAGAAAAAAGTTATAAGATGAAAGTTTTTATTTTTACAAGTATACATGAAAATATTGTGTTGTAACAGTTCTTAAATAATCATATTTACATTATAAATATTCTAATTCTTATATTTATAATATAAAATCAAATTGACATACATATATATATATATATATATAAATTTAAAAACCTTTATCTAAAAACCATTGTTTTACGCAAGATACAAAATCTCCTCTAAATTTAATTTCACCGACCATTTCATTTACTCTGCTACCAACTGTTCTTTTCTTTGTTTCTTCAATATGTTTTTTTAATTCTTCTTCTAATTTCCAAATATCTCCTTGTATCTTTCGTACGTGTGTTATTCTTCTCATTCCTCTAAATGATCTTGCTAGATAAATAGGTAGCATATGATTTTTTGTACGTTGTATGAAGTAAGGGTAGTCGTTTGGTTTTGCTATTAAATAAAATACAAATGAAAATAATTATTTATAACAACAGAATTATATATATATCAATTGTGACAATATATCAAAATGACAAACAAAAGTATACTAACCAGTTGCTGGTTTCCATCCAGAAGGTAAATTTTGATCAGTACTTGTTGGTTTTGGTATAACCTTATTTTTCATTAAACGTTTAACATAATCCCATTCTACTGGATCAGTTGATATCTCATAATCGGTGTAATGAGAAGGATCCTTGTATATAGGTGAAGATTTGTAACTACTCCATCTTTTACTTATCTGAAAACAAAAATAATAAGATAATATCTTTATTAGTACTTTTGTCATGATATATATATATATATATATAATTCATATAAAAATGAAACATTTTTAATAATATAATCAACTTAATATTTATATCAATAAAATAACCACATTATTTTGATTATCAATCATTCTATATTTTATGAAAAGTCATCAATCAATTTTAATAAAAATTCATTGAAAAATATTATATCAAATGTTTCATTACAATTTGACTTTAGTATTATATTAAAAATGAAAAAGAGAATGATATTTAAAAAAAAAAAAAAAAAATAGAATAGAATAATTACTATGAGATAATAGTAACATGAGATTTAACAATGTTACACATTTATCAGTATTTCATACTCCTATGTTATATTTTATTAGTTATTTAATAAAAATAATATTGTTTTATAGGTTTTTAAAGGATTTATTTATTCTAGAGAAGCATAATGTAATGTAAAAAAAAAGAAAACAGGCGATAAGAATAATATATCATAGGAGAGTGTTGGTAAATTATTGCAAGAGAGTGGATACACGCGCACACCGTAAGAATACGTGAGGCCCTTCGCTATCGTTGTTCTGAGAAAATCACTAACTACAGTTAGACGGTGCGATAAGGTATATTGGGCATTAATTAAAAGTAAATACTTGATGAATTAAGTATATTAAAATATAATTATTAAAATTAGTACCTCGGTGATAGTCGGGAAGGTATGTTTCATCGATTGTAAAGCGGTGGAAGCATGAAAAATCGGTGAAAAACACGAGCGTGTGAAAATACGAAGGGCAGCCATTTTGATCTCGGTAAATAAGGGTCGGTGGCCGCCATTGGTGCGCACGGGCGCGTCTTCCTTTTCGTTCTTCTCTGCGTTTCACCGTGCTTTCTTTATCGCCCTAGCTTTCTTACTCCCATATTATTTTCGACTTTCGCGAGAAAGTTATTTGTCAGTATCAAGATATGATACATTAGTGGGGAGAAAATCGAAACGTTCGAGCATTCTTTGTAAGGTAGATTTTACAATAGTATTCGGCGGCTTTAGTTAACGTTAACGTTAACGTAGCATAGGATTAGAAGTGCCGCGTTGTTGGCTACTTTTATCGTGGATTATTTCATATAAACGGTTTAACATAATATTCTATTTTTTGTTAGTAAAGTGAAGTGATATCACGTAGAACGTAAAAAACGAAGAAATAACGGCAATGTATAAGATTATATGGTTAAATACATTGAAATAATGTCATGAGATTAGCTTGAATGGACTATGGACGAAGAGAAAAAGTTGCACAAATGAACTTCAGATGTCGCTAGTGTCCAAACAGTAGGACAGCGTTCAGACACCCTGCAACGGGACTGTGTTTTTCACGACATTGTTTTTCCTGTTTTCTCACGTTAATCACGGATCTTCGTCGTGATTTTTGGCCTCAGAGGTAAGTTAAATAGTTTTATCAATTAATCGTATTATTATTTATCGTGATATTATCTTTATCGTTTCGTGATAGATTTTAGAAATTTCGAATCGGGGCCGACCTTTTGTTTATTCGTGGCGATATTTTCGCGACTATTTGTAACATTATTTTCCAAACTTTGATCAATTTTATCGAGAAATTTTTCAACTCGGTAGTTAATACTCATTATGGTCTTTCTTTTGAATCTAAAATTTGGATAACCTGTTCATTATTATGCCAGATATCGCTCGAAATATTTTGGACCTGTGTTCCTTTACGGAGAAGAGGCGCTTCGGTGTATCCGTGTAAATGCAAAGTTTGTCACGTAATTTTTCTGACCGCCAGGGCCGCATCTATCAACCCTACTTTTCAACCGGTCGCTTACCTATTACCAGTCCAGACGAATTATGTAGTTTTTCTACTTGGTGTACAATACATTTGTTGTTCCTGCCTTATATTTAAGAGGAAAGGTATTATTAACAATATTTTATTCTATTATACATATATATATATATATATATATATGTATGTATATATATGTCGTGTCCTTTCACTTTTTTTTTTTTTTTTCATTTTATTCAATAAATCAACATTTCTATCAATGATGAAATATTTGTTGCATTTTATAAATATAAATTGAAATAAAAAAAAATATTGCATATAATTAATATTAAAATATAGTCTAAATAATATAGTAATATATAATATAATAATATAGTAATATATGGTATAACTATATAGTAAAATATAGTAATATAGTAATATGTAGTATAACAATATAGTAAAATATAGTAATATAGTAATATATAGTATAACAATATAGTAAAATATAATAATATAGTAATATGTAGTATAACAATATAGTAATATAGTAATATATAATATAATAATACAAATAAATAATATAATATAGTAATATTTATTTATTTATTTATTATTTTTTCTTTAACCATGATATTTATATGTCATATATACATTAAATTTTTTGTTTACAAATATTTGATGCATAAATTATATTACTACATTAATTTATATCATTAATATATAATATTTATTAATAATATTAGATTAATTTGAAACATTTGCAATTAATATAAAATTAATAAATAATTCATTGATAGAGAGAGAGAGGGAGAGAGAGAGAGAGGGAGAGAGAGAGAGAGAGAGAGAGATAATTATCAAGAGTTGATTTTGCAGGAGCCCAATGTGGGTTGAAGTGAGATGGCATCCAGAGAAAAGCGACCCTTAGCGCCTTCAAAATCAAAACAGAAGGCGAATAATGACTCTGGCTTGCCATCTAATGAAGTCAAAAGTAGAAAAGGCAAGTCTTTGTCAAATATAAAACAACAACAACAACTTGCGCGTGATATTTTTGATGCAGTAGCAACGGGCAGTCAACTTCCTGCAAAATTAGAAGCAAGTTTGCCAAGGAAAAAGGTTTTGAAGAATCTTAAACGTAAACAGAATTTAAGAGTAACTAAAGCTAATAATTTCATAAATACAAAGGTTACCAAAAAAGTAGGAAGTAAAAATTTATGCAGAATTAATTCTGATATCAAGAAAGGTATCAAAGCTAGAAAAGTTAAATCGATAGAAGAAAAAGTGGAAGTTAAAGAGGAAGACGAGGAAGAAGAAGAAGAAGAAGAAGAAAAAGAAGAAAAAGGAGAGACAGACAAATCTTCTGATATCAATTTAAGAACTGCAGAAAATCATATCAACGATTCAGAAAGTAGTAAAACTACTGAAACAACCAACAAAAGTGCCAAGATTAATCTCAGGACCAAGAAAACAAAGTCCTTGACAAGGATTACCAATAGCGAACAGGATAACGAAGATAATACAGAAAAAGATCAAGAAGCTCTTGTTAATTTGAATACTACAAAAGGTAATACAAAGAATAGTAAAAGATCTAAAGTAATAGATACTACTGTTGACTCATCTTCCCCTAGAAGTGCCAAACTTGTAAAAAATACTGGACTGAAAAAAAGTACTATAAAGGAGAAAGAAAATTATACTAAAGTTCTAGAAGGGGATAAATATTTAAAAGGTAAAAGAGGCACAACGAAAGATACTGATTCTTCATTTAATAATATTAAAAGCAACGTGCATAATAATAAATTATCTAAATCGGTCTTAGATAACAAGAGCTCTATTGATCTTACTATCGACGAAGTAATAGCTTCAATGTTGAGTGATTCGGAAGTAGATAATCAACAAGGTATTGTAGAAAAAGTTGATGGAAAAATAACGAGGAGTAGGAAAATGTTGGTGGATGAAAATATTATTCCTGAGAGTGAAATCAAAAAGGAATCTGATTGCGATGATATAAGAACTATGTCGGAAGGTGAATGTGGTGGTGACATAGAACAAGGAAATCATACACAAACTACAATTCAATTAAGGAAAAGGTCAAACGCTTTGTTAACCCAAAGGAGTTTACGAAATGGAAAATTACGTCAACTTTCGGAAACATCGTTTGGTAATAATGATATGGAGATTAAGAAAGGAGGAGGAGGAGGTGGAGGAGGAGGAGGAGGACGTAGATTAAATTCCGATGATCCTGCAGCATCTGAAACTTCGACGGAACAGATTTCTGATGGTAATGTTGATCTAGAATCCTGTTTTTCCGAATCTAGCGGTAATTATTCTCAAATAATAATAAAAGAAGAAATAATAATTAAAGATGATGTTGTTGTTTCGAAAAATTATGCAGAAAGTGAAACTGCAATAGAAATAGAAAACAATAATAATAGCGAGAGAGGAGGAGTAGATAGATTAAGTGAAATAGGACCAATATTACGTTCAAAAACAAAAGCCAGAAGTACGGATAACGATAATACAAAAGTGGACGATATCAAAATTGAGGAGACACGTGTAGTAGCACATAAAAATGTAGAAGTACATGAAGAAGTTAAAAAAACAAATAATATAGATCTCGTTAGAAAGGACACAATTTTGTCAAAATTAAACGATAGGTCTAATAAAGGACGAAGAAATAGTTTAAATATAGATATGAGAAAAACTGTTAATTCATTTTATGGAACTGAAAAATCTGATGGCAATCCAAAGTCAAAAATAGATCAAATGATAGAAAATATTAAATTGACAATTGCTAAATCGATTGAAAGTAAAATGTTTGGTCCGGAAAAGAATCTTGGATTGGGTAAAAATTTTGAAATTCCAAATATGGAAGAAATCATTGCACCATTAAGTACCGAATCGCAGAAATTGGGATTGGATGAGAGTAACGATGAAGATAAACCTAATGCATCGAAAAATGAGAGTAAATCAGAAAATTCGGAGAACTCAGTACCAAAAGTGGCCGATACTGCCAAAGAAATTGAGAAACTAGTCATGGGTGACATTGAATTGGTTGAAACACAATCACAAAACACTCAAGATAATAGGGATGAGACTCCTAACATTGAGGCAGTCAATAAAACTCATAATTCTCATGAACCATCACAAGCTACAGTTAGTAATAAAGAAATAAATACGTGTAAAGATGTTAAAGAAAGTAATAATGAAGTTGATCAGGATTCAAATATTACATCTAAGGTAATAGAACAAATGGAAGATACGGAAAGTCAATCGATAAATAATAGCAAGAAGGTATCACCTTTATCAAGAAAATCTGCTAAATCAAATGATAAACATTCTCAAGATAACATTGAAGAATCTGAAATAGAAAAGAAATTACCAACATTATCTGATGAATCAAATGAAAAGCATGATTCTCTTCAAGAAAAAATCAACGAATGTATGCAAGAGGATAAAAAACCAATAAGTGAAAGTGAAGAAGACAATAATAAGGAACTTGAAAAAATTGACGTTACCAATGAGTCTACTAAAATTTTATTATCTTCAACAGAAATAAATGAATCGGTTAAAGCACAAAATGAAACAATAGAGATAAATACGGAAGTTGATAAAATAAATTGTCAACAAGTAGAAAGTTTAAGTACTGGTCAATGTTCAGAGGAGTCAGAAACTTTGGAAAGTATTTATTCTGATGTTGAAAGATTAGTAAAGGGTGATGAACTTTCAACATTATCTGAAATAGAAGAAAATAAAGAAACAAATAGTGATAATAATGTCAAATTAAATGACACGTGTAATGATGATATTGTCAAAGATGCAGAAAGTTCTTCTTCCATTCATACAAAAGATGAAGGAAAATTGATACTCGATAAAATAGAAGAAACGTTGTTTTGTGAAGAAAGAGAAACAATATTAGAAGATATTAATGAATATGAAAAGAATCTTAATGACAATGAAAGTGTTGAGAAGATAATACTTGGTTCCTCTGAATTATTGCAAAATCAGAAAGATGAAAGAAATCATTCTGAATTACCAACCATAAATAATGATTTAAATTCAATATCAACATGTACTTCAAAGAAAGAGATAAATGATAAGAATGATTCTGTCAAGGATGTTATCAGTAGTCAGGATAAAGAAGATACTAAACATCAAAATAATGATACATCAATATCCTCGAATAAAATTAAATCAAATGAAGAAATGATTGATAAAAAAGTAGAAAATAATTTGAACACAACTGTTGAAGATAAGAACAATAAATTATGTTCCGAGAAGAACAACGATGAATCTAAAACAACAACAACAACAACAAATGAAGAAAATAAAAGAGTATTAAGGGTTCGTGATAAACAAAAGAAAGTTGAAAAAAGACCAACTTCCTGTAACAAGGATCATGAAAATGCATCAAAAACTAGTACAGTAAGTGATTGTCAATCTACAGAAGAATGTAATAATGCACAAAATGATAATAAACAAAATTTAGAATTGAAAACAAGTAATGAAACAACTACTTGTAAAACTCCTGAAACAGACGTATCACAAAATAGTACAACAGATTTAGAAACTAGTGATGTTTCAGAGACCCATCCTCGTACCAGACGTGGTAGAGAAGTTAAAAAACGTAAGGAAGATCAACAATCATTAAATAATAATACGTTTAAAAATAAACGAGCTAAACGAGATAATAGTAGAAAGTCTGATCAACAAAAAGAAGAGACATTGCTTGACAATGAAGTAGCAAAGATCAATGAAAACAACAGATTCCTAAATGATTATAACAATCTTGCTAAATGTTCTGATAGTTTTAGAGGTTTTTCCGAAGGTGGTGGTCGTAATAGTTTGGACAAAATCCAAGGTAAAAATGATAATTTACGTAGTAAATCGGAAAACGATTTAGTAATTCCAAATGAATCAACGAATAGATCGGAAGAAGGTGGAAGACTTTTGAGTCAGATAACAGCAGATAATGATCTATCATCTAAAGAAACAAATGACAATTTGTTGGATGAATGTAAATCTAGTAAAATAGAAGAAGTTTCTCAAAAAGATTTAGATGATACGTCTATTTCGGATGAATCATCCAGTAGCGTTAATATTGGATTGAAAATTTTAGAAACGCCTGAGGATAAAGCTAAAAAAGAATCAATATTGAGAATATTAGGTTTGGAATCGTTGGAAAAGGCTGCCGAAAGAGTGAACAATCAGAAAGCAAGAAAGGAACAATATACTGGTACATTGAAAACTGTGATTCGCGTACAAAAGGAAAAGGAAAAAGATAAAAAACGTTCGAGATCACCCTTGAAAATGGTTTTGAAGCAAGGACGTAACGATGGAGAAGGAGATTCACCTGATTTTTACACCATACAAAAGGAGGTAAGATTAGATTTCATGTGAATATTCATCAATGGTGTTACGAATAAAATCATATTAATTATGTGATTTTAATTATTTGTTTATTTTCAGTTTGGAACCAGTGGTTTGGGAGATAGCAGCTCTGGTGCGAACCGAAAGTTCACTACTAACCACAGACACTCTTGCGGTAATCCTGGTTGTGGGAATAACTACATTGTTAATCGATCCTTTTCCTTTAATGCTTTTTCAATATTTCATATATATCTTTTTTCTTGTTGTTTTTTTTTTCTTTTTCTTTTTCTTTTTCTTTTTCTTTTTCTTTTGTGTCCTGTACAAAATATTATTTATCAGATAAGACATAAAGAAGGATTGCTTAATTATTACATTTAACACTACAAATTTACATTTATAAGTTTTATAAACTATTACATACATTTAATATGTAATGCTTTTGGCAATTCCTTTTTGTGACAATCTGTAGTCTCTCTTATAATATTTATTWAAAAAAAAAAATAATTTTGTATCTCTAGTAATTCTGCATGTTTGTCTCTTTTGCTATTGCTTTTAAATTACAAAAAAAAAAAAACAAAAAACAAAACACAAAAAAAGAAAAGGACAACGATAATATTTTCTAACTATTAGTAATAATGCTCTTCTGACAGCTGAATATTTCCAAAGAAATATTTTTATTTGTATAATAATATCCTTACCAAGCTACCCTCTGCTTATAAAAAATTCATGATAATATATATTATGTTCATTATTTATTAATCAATTTTATTATATTATCACAGATGAAGATAACGAAGAAGCTCCACCGAAGGATCGTCAATCTCTTGTTATTCCTGAAAAATCATCTTCTTTTTCTATTCATCCAGGACGATTATGTGCGGATGTATGTTGTTATTGTTTTGGAAAATTTGGTTCCTTGGATACACCTATGCACTTGGCACAAATGAAATCGGATGAAAGAAGAAAGAAGATATTAATTGTAGAAAGACACCTTAACAAGGATTCTTGTCTGTGTGACGCGTGTTATCGTCATGTAGATAGAAAGGTATGAACAATTTATTATAATTCATGAAACAATCAATTTAATTAATTACAATTATATTAATTATTATTATTATTATTTTTTTTTTTTTATAGGCGAACACTAGTCCAACAAACATGCAAGCTAAACCACAAAAGCATCGTCAATTGATGGTATCTAAATGTGCAGCACGTGATTGCAGAGATCCTGCACGCCATAATGTTAAACGACGTTGGTTACTTAAAATTAAAGCTGGACTTCAAAGTCAGGTATTGATTTATTTTGTTATAAGTAAATTACAAACAATTTATGTATTTGTATTAGGTAAATAATATTTCATATTTATATATTTATATATGCATGTTTAATGTTTACAATGAAGTAAYAATAATAAATTACAGGTTGATATTGACTGGGAATCGAGTCAACACACATCAATGTCATTTTGCGTAGTCCATTACAGTAAAGTCGAAATATTTTTGACATGTGCCCTTTGTAATCGAAGATTGGCCAGAAATCATACGCATTTGTTAACCGACGCAGAAACTGTCGAATTAAATCAACGACTTTCGCAACAGGCGATACCAGTTTCACTTTCTGCGAGAACATTTGTTTGCAAATTGTGCCGTTATTTCACACAATTGCAAATTAAATACAAGGATCCTGAAAATATGAGCATGAATCACAGGTCGTTTTATAAGAGCTATAGGAAAAGGTATGTCGTGTTATTGACTTATTTTCTAAGATCTGATTATAACATTAATAAAAGATCTTACGAAAATAATACAAAAAACGTGTTATTTTCTAGAATCTTACATAATCATGATATCGAGGTACTTGAGAATGAAGAAGAAGATTCTAATAGTCAATCGAAAGACAAAGATAAACGTAAGAAAGCTAAATGTCCTCCAGCTAAGAATGGAAATTCCAAGTCGCCAGATGTATCAACTAATTCAACGTCGGATAAATCAACACCTGAATCTATTAAAAATGAAGTTAGAAATTCTGAACAGGAGAATGACAATCGTTCTGTTAAAATGAATACTACGGATGATACCACCATTCCTGCCGATATTCAGTTCCTTTGCGTTGAGGGTTCAACAGACAAATTGAATAAGAAAAGAAAGGTAATCGATGTAAACAATTTTACATCAGACGGAACGATGCCTTGTGATGTTTCGAACGAAGTCGTAGAGATTCTTACCATGGACAAGGAGGTAACATTGACGAAATTACCGAAAAAAGCAAGAACTAGCAACGACATAACTCCTGTTGTTCAACGACTCGGAGCTAATCCTTCTATAAGTGTACGTACATTATTCCCGGGTGAAGAAGAAATGAATCTTCATGCAAACATTGAATTTGGTAATGTTCGAGAGATGACACCTCAGGGTTGGGAAAAGTGTGCAACGATGATTCAATATGACAGAGATACGAAACTTTTATGGCAAGAGTTACAAAGACCATATGGAAATCAAAGTTCTTTCCTCAGACATTTAATACTTTTGGAAAAGTATTATAGAGCTGGCGATTTAATTTTAGCACCTAACGCATCACGTAATGCGATTAATTATTCTACGTCGGTTCAAAATAGATTGATATCATACGAAGGTCCTGAAAAAATGGACGAACCAATAATGGAACCGATATCTAACGAATTTCATAATTCTCGTCGTTTAAGTGGCGGATATGTATTAGAAAGAGATAGACACTCTTTACCAATGGGAAGTTCTACCGCAAAATCACCAGTTATACAATTAACGACAAAAGGTAGTCCACCGCGTGCAATGAAATTAAATTCGGGTGTATCAATTATTAAAAAACCACCTCCTAATTTGCAACGACTCAGTTTACCATCTACAAGTTCGGCAAATGGAAATAACAAACGTAAAGATAGTTCCAAATTACCAATGTCCTCGGGTGGCAAAGTGTTCCAAATGACCGATCCGGAATACAAACGATTACAAAATTCGAAAAAACCAAAACAAATGTTTAGTGATAAACAGTGTGCAAGTCCTACTAGTAGTGGTAGTGGTGGTGGTGGTGGTGGTGGTGGTGTTGGTAGTAGTAGTAGTAGTAGTGGTGTACCATCGGGTAATTCAAATTCTCCTCCAAATTTCAAATCAACAACTCAATATCAAAAAGCAGTACAATACGTGGCTCAAACGCAATTTCAACAACATTTGAGAAGACAACAAGAAATGTTGAATCGTCAAACGAGAGGTGATTTTGAACCACTTATATGTGACATGAGAACGTCAAATGAGAACAGTCCAACACAAAATCTAATACATAACCTTAATCTGCCAAAGTCTATACAAGTGACGACTAAACCATCTAATCCAATTCCCATATTGCCAAAAATTCCAAAGTCATTGACAGTAATACCACAAACGGTAACGAGACCTACTGAAAAATGAGAACTGATCAAACGATAAAGGTCGACGGAAGGGGGAGAGAAGTAAATAAATAAATATAAAAAAAATGCCTTCTTTTATAATACAAATATTTGCCATCCCCTGCCGCGCGCCTAGTTTGGACTTGTAAGAGAGAGTTGTTGTTGTGTTGCACACTTTTTCGCTCTCTTCTTCATATTGAAAAATTCGATTCTTTCAAGAGGAATTCAAATATACTTACGAATATCTGTTTTTGTTTTTCTTCTAATTCCTACTTGAAGTTTCAACACAAAACAAAACTGAGGAGAGACAGAGAGAGACAGAGAGAGAGAGAGAGAGAGAGAGAGAGAGAGACAATCGAATTGTTGATGATGCAGGCAAGAATGAATAGCCAAGCATGCTTTAATAAATATACAAAAAAAAACAAACAAACAAACAAACAAAGTGTCGTGAATGATGCAGTTTTATCTCTTCGAGTTATGGTGACTCGAAGAAGAAGAAGAAGAATAATGGAGAGAACACACACACACACACACGATTATTTTACACATACTATATTTACTTAAGAGAAAATGATATAAAAGAAACTATTTAATTATACAGCGTATGATGTATGTATGTACGTTGTTGTTGTTGTTGTGAATTTACAAACTATCAAAATATAGAATGTATAGTAATCGTGTGTAAATTGAAGAAGAAGAAGAAGAATAAGAAGATGAAGATGAAGATGAAGAAGAGGAGTAAGAAGAAGAAATAGAAGGAAGAAAAGAAGTAGAAGAAAATGTCGATTCTAAAAAAAAGAAAAAAAACGATTAAATCAACCAAAGTTTCTCACCTGTAAACAAATTTAAGCGGATACTCGCGCAAAATAATTTGTTTTTTAATTTCCCGCTCCCCCCCCCCACGAGAAGTGCCTATTATATATATATATATAAAAAATAAATAAAAAAAAAAACAAAAAATGAACACAGATTATGGAATCGTTAGTTTTTATCGGTAATAATACGATGTGCATTAAATAAATTAATGAATTAAATAATGAAGGGATGAACGTTACGAACAATCAAAGGGGTGGTACGGGAGAGAGAAAAACAAGAAAACAAGAATATTTCGAATGAATCTGTGCTTTTTTTCACAGGAATGAAGGGATGGAGAGATGGAGGGAGGAAGGGAGGGAAGGATGGAGGATTATATATTATATAATAATAATAATAATAATAACAATAAACCCTGTATGTTTGATTATAAATCGTTCTTTAATTTCATTGCTTGTGTGTTGTAAAAACTTGAACGAGAATTAATAGGGGTAGCATATAACATTCTATATATATATATATATATACTATATTGGTTTAAAAGATAAAGGTGTGTCACTCTCTTTATAGATTTATTCGAAGACAGAACTATAATAATAATAAAAAAAAAAAAAAACAGATCTGAAATAAATCTGACAAAGTTCGAATATATTATTTGATTATTAAATAAATTGATGATAACAACCACAACAAACTTATTGAAATAAAATGATCAATGAATGAATGATGATGATGATGATGGGCTTTATAACTAAGCCAAATTTTATTATTATTATTATTATTATTATTATTATTTTTTAAAAACAATCAACACGGTAGTGTAGAATATTTTTATCCTAGACGAGAAGTGCTTTTCTGAAAATTAAATAATATATGAAAGTAAGGAGAGGAGGAGGAGGAGGAGGAGTAGTAAGAGACAAAAGAAAAGAAAAGAAATGATAAAATGAATGAAGAGAAACAAACCTTTATCGTTTAGAACCGACAAAAGATCAAGAAAAAGAAACAAAAACGAATTATTGTATATTGTATAACGTTGGTCTGTTATTATTATTTTATTTTATTTTATTTTTTTTTTTTTTTCGTTTCCCCCATAGAGCGATTATATAATGATGACAATGATAATGACGACGATTAATGAGGTTTAAGAGATATAAAAAAAAAAGAAAAGAAAAGAAAAAAAAATATGATAATGACGATTAATCAATGTGTTTGTGACGCGATCGATGATAAAGAATGATGAGAAATATAATAAGAGAGAGAGAGAGAGGGTAAAATGAATGAAAATATATGATTGATACGACGAGAGGGATGGTGGTGGTGGTGGTGTGACGATTTGTAATTATTATACGGACGAATTTTATTCATGTGAAAAGTAGAAGAGAGAGTGTTTGTTGTATAACTTGAGCTTATTTATTACGTTACTACCAATATCACATTGTATATATATATATTATATATTGAAGAATAATATTATTTTTAGTTTTTAAACTCGTATATATATATATATATATATTAAGCTGAATAACGACGATTCGATTCACCATTTTATGATTCATGAAAACAAAACAAAACAAAACGAAACAACAAAACAATACGCGTTGTGTGTATGATTCCTTTAACAAAAATATGTGTGTTTAATTCTCTGGAGAGACAATTCGCAATTTACTACTTATTATTACTACTATTACTACTTACCAGGGAAAAAACAAAACATATAAAAGAGTAAAAATATGAAAAAAACAAAAAAGAATAGGTCAGAATTTGCAAAATGACGGACTCATTTCTTTTTTTTTTTATTAGTTCTTTTTTTTTCTTTACTTTCTTTCTTCTTCTTTGTCGCCACGTGAAAGAATAACGAAAACAATTATTAATAATAATATTAGAGATTGATCATGAGTGTCTTTTCACCTAATAATAATAATAATTATAATTATAATAATAGTAATAATGATAATATTAATAATAACATTTTATTATTACAAAATGCATGCTGTACAATGAAGATGAAATAATATTTCACACGCTTTTATTTTTTTTTTCTTTTTTTTTTTCTTTTTTCATATTTTCATCGTGAATTCTCATACTTTGTAAAATATATTATTATTATTATTATTATTATTTTCTTTTTTTCATTTTTCCTTTAATATTTTGTGTCCCTTTTCTATTATTTTCTTTCTTTCTTTCTTCCTTTCTTTCTTTCGTTCTTTTTTCTATTAATATTATATTAGCTTTTATTTATACGAATAGCAAAAAAAAATTAATAATAATAATAATAATAATAATTAAAAAGAAAAAAAAATGATGAAAATCATATTTCTACGATGAAGAGACGAAAAATGAGCATCGAGAAGAAATTCGCTCTAGAAAAGCATCTGTGACTAAATAATAATGGTAAATAATAATAATAATAATGATGATGATAATAATAATAAATACATAAATAATAATAATAATGAACATAAATAAATAAATAAATAAATAATAGATCAATATCTTACACTCGCTTTTTGTATGTACGTGTACATACATATACACATAAATATATATACACTCATATATACATATATATATATATATATATATTTTCTTTGAGAAATGAACTAATGTGAAAGAAGTTAATGAAATTATAAATAAATGAAAAGAGAAAATGGGAGAATAAAAGTAACACAACTATTATTATTGTTCTTTGTTTTTAAAAATAATTAAATGCAACTTAATCGTTAGGATGTATAAACCTCTCGAAAATTATTAATTAAACAAACAACAAAGTAGATAACAAAAAACAAAAAAAAAGTAATGAAAGTTAAGAAAAATATTTCGTTAAAAGAAGATAATGGAGTATTGCTTAAAAGTATATATATATATACATACATACATACATACATACATAAATAAATATATATATATATATAATTAAGAGGATTTGTTTTGAGAATAAAAAGGGTTGTCGAAAGAAATGCATTATTTTCCTATGTAAAGATTGTACGATGAGTGTGTTTTTTTTTTTGGTTTGCATGTATATTTGCGTGTATGTACATCATGTATGAGTGAGAATAAATAAAAGAAAAAAAAAAAAGAAAGAAAGAGAGAGAGAGAGAGAGAAATTTAACATTGAGAGAGACTGAGATAAAAAAGAAACAAGAAGAAGAAGAAGAAGAAGGGAATTCTGTAAAGTATACGGAGCAATAAAAATTAACTTATGACAAATTCATATCTTACTTTAAAACAAAAAAAATAGAATAAAAAAAGCAAAGAATATAAAAAAAACAAACAAGGAATATGCAAAAAAAAAAAAGGAATCATAATCGAGCATCAAATGAAAAAGTAGAAAGTAGAATATGCGACTTGAGGAGATAGTTTTTCCTATTCGTGTTCATACTAATTGAATTTTTTTTTTGTTTTTTTTTTTTTTTTTTCATAAACTTTTTAAACGTTTATAAACAAAACAAAAAATTGATTGTAAAATGAACAAAAAAGTAAATTCTAAATACCACTCACAACCCTCACCCTCACCCTCACCCACCAATCTCCACCCTTTATTTAACTTAACGAACAAAGATTTTTCTTTTGATCTCGGATTTTGTTCAATTGCAATTCGTAAAAAAAAAAAAACAAGAAAAATAGACATTTCATTATGTGTATAAAATATAAATTAAAGTTATTAATTCTATTTATTACAAATAATTCATACACAACAAACATATTACACATACATACATACATACATATATATATATATAAAATGATACTAAAATTGAATAAAAAATATCAATTGTCAATGATATTAAATAATTGAAAGAGTTAAAGAAAAAAACAAAAAAAAAACCAAACTATAAATAAATTAGTAATTAATTTATCTCTTTTTTTTTTTTTATTTGTTCAATTAATCTCAACACACATGTTACACACATAAACAAACCATCACATCGAATATGAAAACTGATCTCTTTGTGATATATCCAATTCTACTTGATTGTTCTCGAATATTGTTCCATTAATTTGTGAATGAAAATTTTCAATTGATAAAGTTACAAAAAAAACAAAAGAACAGTTAATTGAAAACTAACACTTTTCACATCGATTAATAAAATTTATTGAATTAAATATGATCAATCCAAAATTCACGAGATATAAAACAAAACAAAACAAAACAAAAAAATAATACATCACTTCTTGATGTTACTACTACCAACAAACAACATTGTTTTATATAAAAAAAAAAAAACAATTATTAGAATTTATTGAATAAGAAGAACGTTCAATAAAAAATTGCTTTTTGTATTTGAGTAAAAAGAATAAATGATGATAGGGGAAGTAAAGAAAGAAGG